CCGTCGCGGGGAAGAAAGGATGCTCGGGCAAGGCCTCGGAGGATCACACCACCAGCTCCCCCGTGGCCACCATCTGAGGGGGGAAAACTACTTATTTCCAAATAACTGGGCCCATCTGCTCGTCGCGGGCGGCGCGTGTCCTCCGGCTACGGCGAGAATCAATTACAGAGTGACGGCTGTTTTGCTTCCCCGCTTTCCGTTATGAATAATGAAGGGGTTGAGCAACGCACGTTCTATTCTGCAATGCTCTTTTTATTCTCTCCACTTCCTTTTTGGCACGCTTTTCTCTCCATGGTTAGGATTTTTGGGGGGAAGCCCAAGCCTCCCCCCCCCACCCCGCCGGCCGGATTTGGAGACCGTCCTCCGATTAAAACTCGGCGCAAAATGAATTGTTCCCCCCTCCGTGAAATGTCGATTTGAAGTGTATTATTTGCTGGGTGATATGGGCAAGCGTCACGACCAATCCTAGGTACAGGCAGATATTTCTTTCTCTGGGCACGATGAGAATATATATTTTGCTGGATGGGGGGAAACTCTGCTCTGGCAACAGGAAAGGCATCCGGCCAAGTTCCATTCAGTTGCTCAGAGTTCACCCCCGCGAGGGATTGTGGTGTCATTAAATAATGAGAATTGGGAGTCCTAGCGAAAATCATTCTCACTAAAAGCACCACCTCGCTCGGCAAGCAATAGCAATAGTTAGACTTATATACCGCTTCATAGGGCTTTCAGCCCTCTCTAAGTGGTTTACAGAGTCAGCATATCGCCCCCGACAACAATCCGGGTCCTCATTTTACCCACCTCGGAAGGATGGAAGGCTGAGTCAACCCTGAGCCGGTGAGATTTGAACAGCCGAACTGCTGAACTGCAGTAGCCTGCAGTGCTGCATTTAACCACTGCGCCACCTTGGCTCTCTAAAAAGAAGAGGCATCACCCTGCCAACCAAATTGTGTATAGTCAAGGTTGTGGTTTTCCCAGTTGCAATGGACGGCTGTGAAGGTTGGACCATA